AGAGATTGCAAACGTCCTATTGCTATTAATAGGTCCAGGAAAATATTGGAACGCTCGGTGGCTCGTAGAGTGGTGTCACTGGGGGGACGGGTCATCGACCACCCCAACATTCGATTCAGCAAGGCAACCCTCTACCGTGAGGATGGCATACATCTTTCCAACGAGGGGAATGATGTTTGGCTCACTGACATTTCTGCGGGGATTAGGGATTGGTTGCAGATTTGAGGGTACTGGCGGTGACCTTTTGCTCGAGTGGCGGTGAGGCATTGGTCGGGGTATTGTTATGTAGATGGATGGGGGGAGGAGCGCCATCACCTCCCCCAGTTGCGAAGGGTAGTCCGGTAAAGGACTCCGGGGGCGTGGCCCCGTCCGAAGCCTAGGGAGGTCAGGGCCCAAGGCACGCCCCTGAGCGGTGACCCCAGGGGAGTGCCTAGTTGATGTGCATCAGCAGGGCTCCCCCTGCTGGTGTTAACCCTTCCCGGCCTCTCAGGCATACAGCCTGAAGCCGGATAGTGAATAGGACCAATGCCTAGGCCAATACCGCTCATTTCCTGCAATCAATAAAGTTGTGGCCAATTTTCGCCCCTTAAACCTTAACTTATGGTGTCTTGTGTCTTTATTTCTTCTGGTGGGAGGTAGGAACTCACCACGCAACCACGTTTTTGGGCCATGGTCTAGCCAGGAACCTATGGATCACAGTTTTTTGTGGTGTAGGCTGTGCCCCTGGCTATGATGTGTGATTTGACACTGAGTTTGGGTTGGCCCAATGCAAAAGGCATGAGGATCCACGAGGTTCCGTGTTTCAGAACCTCGTTTTGGGCGATGGTATGGCCTGAAAGCTTTGGATCCTAGTTTTTTGTGATGCAGGGTGTGCCCCTGGGTTTGACGTGTGATTAGACAGTGAGTTTGGGATGGCCCAATGCAAAAGGCGTGCGGATCCATGAGGACCCGTGCTTGGCAACCACGTTTCTGGGCCATGGTATGGCCAGGAAGCCGGGGATCCTAGCTTGTTGAGATAAAGGCTGTGCCCCTGGCTATGATGTGTGATTTGACGGTGAGTTAGGGGTGGCCCAATGCAAAAAAACATGAGGATACATGAGGATCTGTGCTTCAAAACCACGTTTTTGGGCCACGGTTTAGCCAGGAAAATGTGGATCCGAGTTTTTTAATGTGCAGGCTGTGCCCCTGGACATGATGTATGATTTGACGGTGAATTAGGGGTGGCCCATTGCAAAGAGCATGAGGATCCGGACTTCCGGGGTGGCGCCATCGGTAATGGCGGATTCCCTCTGAATTGGAGGGAACCGGCTCTACGGAAATTGGGTCTGTACCGCTACGGCGCAGCGGGGACCCTTCAAAAATCACAGGCGGGTGAAGCCTGTGACCGTGGGACTTGGCGGGCACCGTTTGTGCCCCCCCCCAATCAGCAAAGGAGCCCGGCAACGGGCTCCGGAGCGGAGCGGGGAAGTGGCGCTGTGCTGTGAGTCGTCTGCTTCTTCTGTGGAGTGAAGCCGCGCAGCTGTTACCGGAGAGCGCTGCCTTTTTCCTGGGACAATTTGGCTCTAAAACAACGATCCGTGAGTAGGCTAACTTTTGAATTAAGGGAACTTTACAATTTTTTTGAACAATTCGGTACCGAAGCGGAGAGGTATAAACAGGAAGTCTGCCTCCCGCTCTTGTAAACGGAGTAAAGCAATGAACTTGAAAGCGGAAGCTTTAAAAGACGTTGGAAAAGGATTATAATTCGAGCATCAAAACTGTGATTTCCCCCCCTTGATTGCAGGGGAGGAGGGGGGAGGAGGTTTGAACGTTATTTCCCTGAAAAAAGAGGGGAAGAGGAGACAAAATCCACCGCTTAAAACCCTGGAACGGGTTCCCAGTGACAGTAAGAAGCCGTATTGGAAACTGCGCTGTTGTTGAAAGTACTCTTTGACAGTGAACTCTGCATCTGAGATACAACTTAGATACAATATTGCTGACAGGTATCTCCTGGTTTTAAAGTAACAGACTGAGATAGAAACTGTTGTCTTTTTGGTGAATTGGGGGGCTAAAGGGAGAAGTTAACTACTTTAAGACATTTTTGACTGCTACTGTGTCCCCCTAGAGGAAGCTTGAATCTGTTACAACTGCAGCTGGCTTAAGGGAATTTTCCACTTCAATTTCCTAAGGGAATTTTCCACTTCAAAACAACTCTGACTCTGATCGTGAGACTGACCTTGGCTTATATCTTGAGGGTTATGGCAGATGGGAAAGAGAAGATAGATTTGTTACAAGCAACGAGGTCTGGCAGAGTATTTCGCACAGACGGTGGGCTGCAAAGAAGGGCTTCGACATCTGGCCCTCCTGGTTTACCAACAGCAACCTCATCGGCACAACCTAAAACCAAAGGTATGGCAGCTGACGATGCCCTGGCTCAGGCACTAGGTAAAATTAATGAATCTTTGGAAAGAATAAGTAAACAAGTAGCCGAGGCATCGGGTAAAATTGATCAAAATACGACAAGTATTAATAATTTGGGACAGAAGGTAAATACTAATACAGAAACTATTCAGAAACTATTACAGGAATCCACTTCGACACGTAAGACAGCCGAAGAGGCTAAAGAAATTGCCACTGCTACAGCTACTGTGGTAGAAGAGAAGATACCACCGTTACACAAACAACTTGAAGACCACAAGTCAATTCTGTCTATGATTGAGTTGAAAGAGAAACAAGTGAATTTAAGGGTCAGGGCTGTACCTGAAGTGGAGAAAGACAATTTGATTGAATTTCTTACGCAGGAATTTGCAGACTTTTGGAACCCAGATTTGGGGAAGGATAGTTTCAAGATAGTGAGTGCTTTTAGGCTTGGAAAAGGAGGGAGAAAGAACAGGGTGAGAGACTGTTTGATCACCCTCCGAACAAAAGAGGAGAGAGATAAAATCTTGAGCCTGCATTTCCAGAAGACCTTGGAAATACAACAGTCAAAAGTGGAGATATTCAAGGATATTCCGAAACATCTTTTGGTTACCCTGCTGAGAAGCAACGGAATCATTTTTAGGTGGGAATTCCCCCAAGGCCTATCCTTTAGCTATAAAGGGAAGAAGATAAAAATAAGATCAGAAGACGACAAAGATAAATTTTGGAGAGACCACGGAGAAGACCTGCAGAAGAAAGTTACAGGAGAGCTAAGAGCACTTGTAAGAGAAACTTTAGACACACCAGATTTACCTCTGGAACTAAAAGACCGCCTGAAAAAGGTGATACCACCGACAGAACAGGAACAGGCACTGGGTGCTGTTGGAGGAGAAGTAAAGTAGCTACATCATGGCTCTGCAACTACTACGTTGGAATTGTAATGGCTTGAACTCCCCTCAGAAAAGGAGATCTGTGTTTCATTTATTAAAAAAGGAACAATTGGACTTGATTTGTCTACAAAAAACACATATAACTGTTGGGATACTGCCAGGGAGATAAAGTCCATCAAGGCCCCCAAGCCGTCTGCCGGATGATCCATCGACCTCCCGTAGGCATGCAGCGACATGAGTTTCTAGAAAATATCTTGCCACATTCCAGAGCTCATGCACACTCTATCAGCAGACAATGCACAGCCAAAAAGTTGCACTCAGGAGAGCATTATTTACAAGTTTATTCAGCGTTGATCAGGACACAGAAAAACATGACTGCCTGCTTTAGTGTCTATGACACAGAGAGAGAAACGAAAGCAACAGCAAACATAAACATCCTGTGAACAGGAAATACGCAGACTCTGACTCACAAAGCCTGCTCCCTTTTAAGGTGGAACGGAAATATCCTAACATCCTCCCCCTTTCCGTGTAACCTGTAGTACCTGTGGTTCAACCCAATTGCAACCTTTGTACATAAACCTTAAGTTGTTCTCTGTTAACAACCTTAGACAACAGATCAGCAGGAATTTCATTTCCTGCCATGTAGGACACCTGAATGAGTCCTTTCTGAATACACTCTCTTGCACGATGTAGCTTAATCTGCAAGTACTTGGTCCTTTGCTTGCAACTCTCCGAGTTCAGCAAAGCCAAACACGATCTATTGTCTTGATACACTTGTACAGGACATTTCACAGAAACTCCGATGTCCTTAAACAGTTGCATCAACCATTCACAATCCATGAGTGAAAATGATAGAGCATTGAGTTCTGCTTCACAGGAACTTAGGCTCACTGTCGTCTGCTTTTTGCACAACCAGTCAAACAGGCAGTGGTTGTACATGTAGCACACTCCAGAAGTGCTTGTACCATCCGTGGTGTCACTTCCAAAACTTGCATCTGCAAAGATTTCAAGACCTCCAGTCTTCTGACTGGTGAACCTCAGCCTGTAGTGCAAAGTCCCTTTCAAATAGCGGGCTATGCGCTTCAGAGCTTTCCAATCCTGAACAGTAGGATTGTTGGCATGTCTGCTAAGCAGGTTACAGCTTACAGCTATGTCAGGTCTTGAGCATCTAGCAATGAAATTCAACTTGCCTAGAATGCATCTGTACAGCGTAGTGTCAGAAAACGCTTCAGCAGTACTATCTACCTGGTAACCTGTCACCATCGGTGTGTCTGCTGGGTTTGCATCAACCAAATTCAACCTGGTTAATACATCAGCAATTTCCTGTGTTTGGTGTACCAGAAAATTACCTGCTTGGTCCCTCTCCACCTGCAGAGAAAGATAGTTGGATATTTCACCAAGATCCTTCATGTCAAAGTGCTCCTTCAGCTGAGCTAGGGTGCTTTGGTAGAAAGCCTGATTCTTCCAAAACATCAGAAGATCATCAACAAAACCTAAACAATACAGTTTGTTTTGCCCCTCCTCCTTGACAAACACACATGGATCAGCTTTGCCCTGGTGAAAACCTAGAGAAAGCAACGTCTCAGTGAGTTTCGTGTTCCAACACCTGGCACTCTGCTTGAGACCATATAAGGATTTCCGCAGTTTACAGACCATTCTCTTCTGTATCTGCATCCCGTCAGGTGGAAGCATAAACAGCTCCTCCCCCAAAACCCCGTACAAAAAAGCTGTATTAATGTCATGATGGGAAACATGCAGTTTCTCCTCTGCAGCTATCTTGAGCATCAGCCGAATGCTCTCATATTTGACTGTGGGTGAGTAGGTCTTGTGGTAATCCTGTCCTGGTACCTGTGAAAAACCTCTGGCAACCAATCTGGCTTTGTGCCTGACAACCTTGCCATTCTGGTCTGTCTTGGCCTTGAAGACCCATTTGCTGCCAACCAGTCTCATCCCTGGGACTACTGGTACCAACTCCCAAGTTTGGTTCCTATTCAAGGAATCAACTTCAGCCTTCATGGCATTAAGCCAAGGCTCAGCATCTTTAGAGGTTAACTCCTGAACCTCTTTGAAGCTTGAAGGTTCCACACCTTCTCTGAGCTACTAAGAACAGCAGTTGCTGTCTTAGCAAACTCATCAGCAAATCTCTTTGGAGGTCTGCCCTTCGTGGCTCTTTCAGATCTGCGTACTAGACGCAAGTCTTCTGGACTCATCTCCTCCTTCTTAGGAGAAAAGTGACCAATGGTGAACAGTGGTTCTTCCAGTTCATTGTCAGACGCATCAGATGGTCTGACTGAGGCCTTTGCGCTCTTGTAGTCTGCTGTGTCATCACTGTCACTGACACCAGCAGCAGCGCCGCCCACTGAACTGGAATCCGAACTCTGATCATCATCGTCATCATCATCCTCAGCAGCTTCCTCAGCTTTAGCTGCTTCTTTGACATCACCTTCATCCTCCTCTGGGTAACTCTGGAAAATTCCCACATTTTCCCCCCACTTAGGATTGTACTCAGCACTCTTTGTGAACTTAATGGACTTAGAGTCAGTCATCCACACCCTGTATGCACCTTTTTTCGTACCCCATGAACAAACCATGTGCCCCACGCTTCCCAAGCTTGTTGCTCTGTGGGGTGTGTACCCACATGTCAGAACCAAAGATTCTCATGTGTTTGATGTTGGGTTTCTTACCAAACATCTTCTCATAGGGAGTACAACCAATAGGTGATGACAATCTGCGATTAAAAGTGCAAACAAAATTCGACAGAGCCTCCCCCCAAAACTTATCAGGGAGATTGGCATCATGCAACAATGTTTTCATTCCTTGCTGCAACGTTTGATTTGCTCGCTCTGCAAGCCCATTCATCCATGGCGATCTAGGCGTTGACAAGTCATGCTGGATTCCCTTCTCAGTCAGGAAAGCTTCAAACTGCTGAGAAGTGAACTCCCCGCCTCGATCAGTAAACAGACAGCCAATACGTTTACCGTGAACATTCTCCAACCAAGCACAGAATGCCTTGAACTTAGGAAACGCTTGCGATTTCTGCTCGAGCATAAACACATGAATGTACCTGGAAAAAGAATCAATTAGAACCATGAAGTACCTTGCTCCACCCAAAGAGGGCGCAAGTGGACCAACCAGGTCTGCGTGCACTAGCTGGTAGGGTTTGGAAGCCTGCCTGCTAGACTCCTTGCCTTTTGGAGCAACCTTCACCTTGTTCTCTGCACAAGATACACATTTCATGTGAAACTTACAGGGTTTGATGTTCAAACCCTCAACCATCTCTGGCATCTTGGCCAGTGCCTTCCAAGAGATGTGACAAAACCTTCTGTGTGCATCGTGAATGCATCCTGCATGAAGAACTTTGTTAGTTTGTGCAACACAACAAGAATCAGCATTAGACACAACAGCACCATTGTCGTCATAAGTTATACAGAACAAGCCATCCATAAACTTTGCATGCAAAATGTCCTCTTTGCCTTTTCTGATGACACAGACGCTCCTCTTGAAGGAAATCTCAAAACCACGCCCAGTCAACTGTGGGACACTGAGCAAATTGTCTGCAGCACCTGGAACATACAGTACATCTTTGATGGTAGTGTGCAGACTTGCCAGTTTCACAGTCCCTTCTCCTGCAATTCGCAACGTCTTTCCATCAGCCAGGTGGATCTCACCTTCTTGAGGCTTGAAGGAGATAAAGAGATGGCGGTCTTTCGACACATGGCGGGTACACCCTGAATCAACAACAAACCTGGCTTTGGCCTTTGGAGCAGCCTTTCTGGCAAGCAAAACCTTGTTTTCCACCGGCGTGGGCTTTTGCAGCTTGCCCCCCTGCTCCTGGCCATCAGACTTGCCTTTAGCCTTTGGTGAAGCTGTGCCAGCAAACAAAACCTTGTTTTCCACTGGCGTGGGCTTTTGCAGCTTGCCCCCCTGCTCCTGGCCATCAGACTTGCCATTAGCCTTTGGTGAAGCTGTGCCAGCAAACAAAGCCTTGTTTTCCTCTGGCGTGGGCTCTTCACCCTCCCTCTGCTTCTGGCCATCTGCAGGCGTCTGCCTCTGTTTACCTTTGCCCTTCCGGCCTCTGCAAAGGCGATGACCTTGGCTCCCATGAGAAACAGAGCTCTCAGCTGCCGACTCCTTGGCTCCCCTGGAGGCTGGAATGCTGCCTGGGATGACGTGACAGTCAGCTCCCCTGCAGCTTGCAACCGGTGCCCTCAGCATCCCTGCATTCACTCGCATTCTGGGAAACAGCCAGGACCTCCGATGCAGTCAAACTCTGGGCTGGGATGACTGGCAAATGGGCTATCTTCAAAGCATGCCACATCTTACGTGCAGTGGTGTTGCCAGCAAGCGTTTTTATTTCCTCCAGAGAGACGGACAAGACTATTATGTCTATCGCCTTCGAATTTTCGGCCTTCCATCTCTCTGTCAGAGGAACTGGAGGGGCCTCACACACAGTATGCCACACTCCAAACTGACGCAGCAAGCTCTCACACCATTTTGCCCAGGTTTTATAATTGTGCCGATTTAACTTTGGGCACTCAGCAGCCTCAGAAGCTTGGAAAAACTCCATTCCAGCTTTTTACTTGAGCCATGAATCTTTATGCCTTCAAAAACGTCTTATCTCAGCAGCTCATTAATCACGAAGCCTTTGGCGCGGCTCCCAGATCCATTAGTCTGCCGGAGTTCAAAGGCCCTTGCCGTGGCAAACAGAAAAGCCTCACTTTCGCTTTTCCTCCACATACCTTTCAGCAGTCCGTCGCAGTCTTACTCTCCTGTAAGTGCTGTGAATCTGGGCCCATAACCTGTTGTTGGGATACTGCCAGGGAGATAAAGTACATCATGGCCCCCAAGCCGTCTGCCGGACGATCCATCGACCTCCCGTAGGCACGCAGCGACATGATTTTCTAGAAAATATCTTGCCACATTCCAGAGCTCATGCACACTCTATCAGCAGATAATGCACAGCCAAAAAGTTGCACTCAGGAGAGCATTATTTACAAGTTTATTCAGCGTTGATCAGGACACAGAAAAACATGACTGCCTGCTTTAGTGTCTATGACACAGAGAGAGAAACGAAAGCAACAGCAAACATAAACATCCTGTGAACAGGAAATACGCAGACTCTGACTCACAAAGCCTGCTCCCTTTTAAGGTGGAACGGAAATATCCTAACAATAACAAGGTTACACAGGAAATTATTGATTAATAAAAGTCTTGGTCAGGAGTTTATTTCATCGGACAAGGTTAAAAAAAGAGGGGTAGTGATTTATGCAAAGGACAGATTATCACCGAAATTTATTTTTAAAGATGACCAAGGAAGATTTGTGGCAATTGAAATTCAAACACAAGGAGAAAAAAATTTGATAGTAGGAATTTATGCACCAAATGAGGGGAAATCTGATTTTTTAAAGAAGTTGCATGAGACCCTGATGGACTATTTGGATTACAACATGATTTTGATGGGAGACATGAATGGAGTGGTATCTACACATATGGACAAGGCACAAAGACAGGTAGTCACTAAGGATGGTAGACTACCGAAAACTTTTTTTGAGATGACAGACAACTTGGACTTAGTTGACATTTGGAGAACAAGGAACCCCATGGCTAAAGAGGGAACCTTCTTTTCTGAAGCCAAAATGACATGGACAAGAATTGACCAAATATGGTGTCAGGGAACTGCCATCGGACGGAAGGGAGGTGAAAGGGCTCACACAGGTTGGGAGAGACGCAGCAGCTGAAGAGGGAACCAGCAGGGAGGTGAAAGGGCTCACACAGGTTGGGAGAGACGCAGCAGCTGAAGAGAGAACCAGCAGGGGGAGAGGAGCTGAGCTGGAGGGATGGCTCAGAGACACTTCCAGCGAAAACAGTGGGGAGGTTTCAGGACCTCCTGTAAGAACACCCACTCCTCGCCGGAAACTGTCACGCAGAGATTCCAGAAGACGTGTTTCCGTTAAGGAGCTTTTATGTTGGAAGCGATTACGAAAGCAACCACTGTCGGAATCTGCTAGTGACTAGAGTAGCCATGTCTGAGGGGCTCCGTCACAGACAGAGGTTTGTGGACTTGAACAAACTCTGAGGGGATACGATTTTACGCACAAGCAGCTCATCATCCCATCACAGCATTCCGACAGTCTTTGAAAGCAGCTTGTGCAGGAGAAGGCATCATGAGCAACCCAGCCGGAACCGGAGAAGCAGGAGCTGGAGCGGGTCCAAGCCTGGAAGAAAGGTACCAGATGTTGGAGGTCCAGCTAGCGATGCAGACGGCGAGGCTTGAGGAGAGGAGGGCTCAGGATGCAGACAAAAGGGGAAAGCCACCCAGTTCGCCAGAAAGGTACCAGGATTGGTGCAGAAGTTTGGGGAGCCCAAAAACTATCATGGCTTTCGGACAGAAATGCAATATGCCCTCAATCTGCAGTTTGATGAATCCCTGACGAGGAATCACGAGTGGCTTTCGTGATTGAGCATCTTGAAAAGGGGGCGAGAGACTGGGTTAGACCCCTGATGGCAGCGAATAGTGACGTCTTAAAGGACACGATGAAGTTCTTTCGCGCCATGGATCTGATGTTTTCCAGCGATATTGAAAAGGGAGTGGTGCGCAGACAGTTAATGGGTTGCAAACAGGGGAGCCGATCTGTCCGTGAGTACTGGACTGAGTTCACCATGCTTGTTCACAGATTGGGGTGGGACTTATCGGCGGAACCCATTCAAATGCTCTTTGAAGAAGGGCTTTCTTCGGCTGTGAAAGACGAACTTTCCCGGGCGCCCAGGGCGGAGTCTATGGACCAGCTGACCAAATCAGCGCTGGCCATAGGAGCGCGCCAGGAGGCGAGAGCATTGGAGAGGCGGGAAGGGAAAGGGGAACGTTGGAAGGAGTTCCGCATTCCAGACATTCCAGAGCCAACTTTCCCACCGGCAGAGCCGATGGAAATCGGAACAGCGCGCGCGCGCAGTTTCAAA